ATATTACGCTGTAAATTCTCACAAAATTTACCTACGAACGATTCATTAAAAAAAGTACCTGTAAAATTACAGGTACCCGAAAATTGCATTTTACCATGGTTTTTTAAGATTTTGCCCCCGCGGCGGCATTCTTTAGGACAGCGCGTCCGGAAGGGGTGCGGCATTCTAAGTTTCAGTCCGTCACTATACATAACTATTCCATAGCTATTCCGCAATAGCTATGGCAAAAACGTCAGCGGAGTTCTGATGGCTCTGCCTCAAGGGCCCACATTGCCAGGCCATCTCTTGGCCACCGCCCACACGCTGAGCAAAGGTGAAGGCGGATTCACGACCTTGCCATGCCATTACGGTCTTTTGAGAAAACAAAAAAACAATAACATGCAAGAACAAAAGGATGCAAATTTACGCAATAAAATAGAAACAGCTGTCTAAAGGGCTGAAAATAGTGCAGTCAATTACAGTAATACGCGTTCGTCAATCAGTGATAATCAATGTATAATGTACGTATATACAACTTTGTTTCACATTGTGGTGCCTACAAGATCTTACAAGCCAAAACTTCTAGGTATTGCAAAGTGCAAAGCCTCTACCAGCGGCGGATCAAGTCTCTGGCCAACGAAGGTTCTGCTTTGGACATCATCGTTGGCGCTGCCCTCTGCCAGCCAATAGACCGCCCACATCTTCCTTGGCAACAGCCAAACGGAAGTGCAGCCGCCTGATCCTTCGGAGTGGCAAGTTCTACATGGTTACATTGCGGAAAAATGCCGAAAATCACTGTTGCACTTTCTTCCCCCAGATAGCTGGAAGGGTTCTTCCTTCTCAAAGGTCGGGTCTTCGGAGGCGAACTTTGTGCGAAGTCTGGCCAAGGTGCTGTGCAGGGTCCTCCGCAAACTGCTGTCCAGAGTGCAGGGGCGAGGTCTGGCGAGGGTGCTGTGCAGGGTGCTGTGCAGGGTGCTGTGGCTGCTGTCAACTGTTGCTGACGACCGTGCGGTGGCGAAGTCTAGCACAGGTGCTGTGCAAGGTGCTGTGCAGGGTGCTGTGCAAGGTGCTGTGCAGGCTGCTGTCCAGAGTGCGGTGGCGAGGTCTGGCAAGGGTGTGTGCAGGTTGCTGTGCGCGGCTGACGGTGCGGTGGCGAAGTGTGGCAAAGGTGCTGTGCAGGATGCCAAGGTGCTGTGCAGGCTGCTGTCCAGATTAAACTGCTGGGTGCTATGCAGGGTGCTCTAGAGGCTGCGCAGTCTGCTGTGGGGGTGCTTGTGGGGGGCTGCTGTGAAGCTGCTGACAGTGCAGCGGCGAAGTCTGGCAAAGAAGCTGTGCAGGGCTGTGGGGGGTGCGGCGGCGAGGTCTGGCAAAGGTACTGTCCACATTGCTGTGCAGGGTGTTGTGCAGGCTGCTGTCCAGGAGTGCGATGGCGAGGTGTGGCAGAGGTGCTGTGCAGGGTGATGTGAGGTGGTGTGCACGCGGATGCGGAGAGCGCTGTGCAGACGGGGTGCTGTGACCGATGCGATGCTGCGGCTGCTGTGAAGCTCCTGACAGTGCGGTGAAGCTTGGCCAAGAAACTATGCAGGGTGCTGCGCAGGCTGCTGTGCAGAGTGCGGCGGGGGCTGGCGAAGGCTGGCGAAGGCTGGCGAGGGTGCTGTGCAGAATGCTGTGAAAGCTGCTGTGGCTGCTTTGAGGCTGCTGCTGACAGTGCGTTGGGGAAGTCTGGCCAAGGTGCTGTGCAGGGTGCTGCGCAAGGCTCAGGCTGCTGTGCAGAATTCTGGCAAAGGCGCTGTGCAGGGCGCTGTGCAAGCTGGTGTGGGTGCTGCGAGGCTGCTGCTCACAGTGCAGCAGATGTCTGGCAAAGGTGCTGTGCAGGGGGTGTTGTGCAGGGTGCTGTGAAGGCTGCTGTGCAGCGAAGCATTGGGAAGCATTGGTTCCAATGTTTGGGAACCGCTAGTTCCTAGAACTGGGAACCCGAAGTTCCAACATGGGAAGCATTGATTCCAACGCTTGGGAACCAGCAATTCCTCGAACTGGGAGCCCGTGGATCCAAGATTGGGAAACAGTGGTTACATCGTTTGGGAACCGGTAGTTCCTAGAACTGGGAACTTGTGCTTTCAAGATTGGGAAGCATTGGTTCGAACGCTTGGGAACCAGCAGTTCCTCGAACTGGGAACCCGTGTGCACATGACTTCCAACTCTTGGGAATGGGGGTTTTGCAAAAAAACAATGTTTTTGTTCCTTCTATGACGCATTTTTTTGGCTGTTGATGTCGGGCTAGGTGGGCACATGTCGCATTTTTTTTGAGCGAGCTATTTTTTTATTTTTTTACGTGGCTGGCCAACATGTTTTGTTTAATCACGCGCCTTTTTTTGCTGTCGGTCATTAAAAGCATGCCTATTGCAAACGCACTGGTGATATTTGGCTAATAATCAAAACACAGCGATTATTTCA